CAAAATATTTACCCATTTACCGTACACAGACTCTTTTTTTTCTCCTTTACTATGAGGTTTTTTGGGTGGATGGAGTCAAAACATTTTCTTACATCCCCTGTACTTTTTAAATTCCCCTTGAAACCCATTTTTAAAATACAGACTATGACTCTAAATGCTTTGATGTAAGAAAGATGGAAATTCATTCCATTAACACACTAATGTTTGCTGAACATCTACTGTGTGCGATGAACTGCTCTAGGTGCTAGAGAGACACGCAGCAATGAAGACAGGTATTATTCTGCGGGTCAAACGTAGCCTGCCACCTGCTTTTGTACAGCCTACAAACTAAGGCTGTTTCTGATTTTTTTAATGGCTGAGGGGGGAGGGAGATCAAAAGAAGAAAAATAGTTCATGACACATGAAAAGTATATGAAATTCACATTCCTGTGTCCATAAGTAAACTTTTATTGGAACAGATACACCCACTCATACTTTTGTGCTACAAGGCAGAGTGGAATAGTTGGAACAGACGCCATCTCGCCTGACCCTTTACAGAAAAATCTCCCCCTCATGAATGAGACAGACAGCAAATACATAAGCAGATTAATATGCATTTCTGGTAATACTGAGTGCAAAGAACAGGCAGGATGGGGGCAAGGTGGCTGGAAGGTTGAATGTAGGCAGTGTGAGCAGTGATGGCCTCTCTGAGCCAAGACCTAAAGATAAGAAGCCAGCTGAGTAGAGATGGGAGGGGACAGCATTCTGGCAGAGGGAACAGCAAGTGCAAAGGCCCTGAGGCAGGGAAGAGGAGGCAGGGAAGCTGGTTAGACTGAAGGGGTACAGGCACAGGAGGGGAGGGTGGTAGAACAGTGCGAGGGGAGACCACCACAGAGGACAAAGCAGGGAGGCCATGGAAAGGGAGCTGGAATTTTTTCTAAGAACAAGAATTCACTGGAGGGTTCTAAGCAGAGGAAGGCCATTTTTAAAGGTTTTTAAGCACCTTGAGCAAGCAGGAGTGAAAAAAGACAGTCAGGACACCTTATCTAACCAAGATGCTCCCAGCACAGGCCAATTCAAACCAGGGAGTAAACTCAAAAACCAATTCATCTGACAATAAAATAAATTCATTGATCCACTCAGGCCTTAGTATGAATACAAACTTTTTTTTTTTTAAATATATTTTATTGATTTTTTACAGAGAGGAAGGGAGAGAGATAGAGAGTTAGAAACATCGATGGGAGAGAAACATCCATCAGCTGCCTCCTGCACACTTCCCACTGGGGATGTGCCCGCAGCCCAGGTACATGCCCTTGACCGGAATCAAACCTGGGACCCCTCAGTCCGCAGGCCGACGCTCTATCCACTGAGCCAAACCGGTTTCGGCAAACTTTTTAAAATTAATTTTATTGTGTAAAAGTATCTGCAACTAGTATATTAACAGTCCACTGACTCCACAGACAAAACTGTTCAGGAAGAGGCAAAGATTAAAGAAGTGAGTTACCTTAAAGTCCAGACAACTGTTAAGCAAATTGACAGGAAGGGATATGGTGCCAGGAGGGTGTGGAAACCTGGGTAGGAGACTTGTGGTTCCCAGAGGCCAAAAACAGTTAGGAAAACCCCCACACTATGGACAGGATGGGGACAAGGGGCAAGAGCTCAGGTGGCATGGGAGTGTCTGTGAGCTTCTCTCCTGGGGGATGGAGAGATGGAAGCAGTAGGCTGGGAAGGACGGGGGAAAGTCAGAGTGACAATTGGGAAAAACCTGGACATCCAGGCCTAGGACTATGGGCTAGACACAATTTGTTAATAGAAGCCCCTCCCTATTAAAGACAGGAAGGGAGGAAGGGGGCAAAGGGAACTAGAATAAGAGATACATCGGGGATACGGCCAAATATCAGGCTGCTGTTAAGTGAGAGAGTCTCACCTGTGGGTGACTGTGCCCCCCATGGGACACTGGGCAATGTCTGGGAAATGCAGTTGCCACAATTGGTAGTAGGGGGAGTGCTGTTGACATCAAGTGGGTTGGGGCCAGGGATGCTCCTCAACACCCCCACAGTACCCAGGAAAGCGCTCCCAGAGAACAATCCAGCCCAAGTGTGGACAGGGCAAACGGGGAGACCTGGGCAGAATCAGACAGCACCCAGTGCTAATAAATCAGCTTGGGGTTCACAGCTCCCTGGCGCCATGCAAAGCACTTTAGAGCCTTTCATCCCCTTTCATCCTCACAATTACTGGAGCTGGGTTCTCATTACACCCATTTTACAAATGAGGAAAGTGAGGCCCAGAGACGTGAAGTAACCTGCCCCAAAGGAGGGATTTGAACACAGGTCCTCAGACTCATGTGGGGAATGAAGAGAACAGGAAGACAAGGACACGGCCAAGAACAGCAAGCCAGAATAGTGTCCAGGTTAGGCCCTGTCCTCTTCTGTCTGGCATTCTCAGCTGGAAGCAGAGGTACCCAGTGGCCCAGCAGGTGTATGGAGCCGTCACAGTCCTGCCATCTGCCCACAGCTCGTTTGCTCTCCACACCTCAACCACACTTGGGAAGGTTTAGTGACCACCCCATTTTGTTCTTGAGCAAGTGACTAGTCTAAGGTCACGCAGCTCTGAACCCCACGCCGAGGCTCTGAATACAGATCCCAGGAAGCAAGCCAATTGGAAATGCTCATCTGCCCATGCCTTGGTCGGTCCCCTCCTCCATTCCTCAGCACCCATCACCTCATCCTGCCTGCTCCATAGCCAGCCCTCCCCCTGAGGGCAGTGGGCTCCACACCACCATCATCGCTGGGAACATCCCCTTTCTCTTTCCCTCGCTAAATCTGAAGCCCCTTTAAAGGCAGGGACTCCCCAAACCTGCCTCAGCATGCACACATCCCCAGTGCCCATCCTCACAGGTGTCAGATGGAACCAAGGAACAGATGGGCTCTCCAGGGCAGAGGCTCAGATGAGTCAGCCAGGGGAAAGGGGTGGAGCACAAGAAACCAGCAGAGGAGGCGGAGAGATGTGGGATCACGTTTTGTGGGGTTGGTGGGGGGGAGACACAGACACCACAGAGGGCCCCTGACTGCCCCAGGGAGCTCCTGCAGGAAGGCTCTAGGACAGAGGGAGGGTCCTTTCTAGAACAAAGGTGGAGGGGAGTCCTGAACGTTATTTAAGCTCTAACGTTAACAGCTCCTTAGCAGTCCACTCTTTAAAGAGGCAAGGATTAGAAAATGCAAGAAAATCAATTGTTACTAAGATCTATATACATTTCAAGTCCCAAGAACTACACACATGCACACATGCACATGAGGCACCTGACACAATAACCACATGCACACCCGGGCAACACCTGGGAGCATTTGTGTCATCACACGGAAACCATTCTCTTGCCCGCACCCTCCATGACCTCCACCAGGGGAGGGTGGTTTGACCATCAGTGTCCCCTGCACCAGGAGCAGCAAAATCTGCCAAGCATCCAATCAGACGCACAGAAAGAGGACCAGTGAGTTTCAAAAACCCTGGACTTAGACAATCACAAGTTGACTCCTCGACTTTTACACTCTGTCCTTCGGTTTCCAAAAAACAAACTGCAAAGACGAGAGAGGCTACCCACTGCTTTTGCAAGGGAGGCAAGAAAAGGCTGACCAGTGAGTTGACAAACCCTCCCCATGCCTCATAAGGAAGCTATTATTTGAGAATTAGGGGAGTCATTAGTTCTTGCACCATGGGGGCAAGAAAAGCCCACAGGAGTCATCTAATGAGCCCGTGTTGGGGGTTTTCTCCAACCTGAGGGCAGCCAGATAACTGGCTGCTGAAGCAGAGGGGTGGGACAGGCATCTCAGACCTTAAGACACTGGGGCCCAAGGAGCTTGCTGAATAAATGCCATTGACAGAAACACATGGAAAAGAACACACTTTTTACATATAACAGGCTCTTGGACTCCACTGAACAGAACTCGGGAAACAGTTCTCCAGGTGCACCTGAATTATTAAAACAAAAGAATGGGGGGCGGGGGGAGGGAGAACAGATGGGACACACTGAAGCACAGTCCATGCCTCCCCGGAGCCCAGGGGGGAAAAAAACAACCCTGTAAAACCTTTCACTTCGCCCAGGTGTACCTGCACCCCAATTCCCCTGGTGCCATAGCATCCATGGGGTGCAGACCTGGGCCCTTGCACATTCCAGGTCAGGTGTCATTCAGAATGAATCCATCCCCAGCTCCCTCGGGGTGGCGAGGACAGCCCTAGGAGGTGATGCGGAAGCCACTCCACAATTTATTGCTACAGAGAAGGGGGACTTGGAGATAGTGATGGAGCTGAGAGGGGGAGGGACTGTGGGACGCGTCTATAATCTGTGATGTGCATAGCAAGTGGATACATTTTTTAAAATGAAAAATCCAGATTGCATGCTTATTTTAGGGGGGGCTAACGGAGATGAAAGGCAAGTTTGGAAGCCCGAGATGGCACTGCGGGTTGACTCCGGGAGGGGAGTGGGATGCAGTGATGAATATTTCGGGGGAGAGTCCCTGGGAAGCGCCCCGTTAACCCCACTAGTGCCTAAAGGGCCGGAAATGCAGGGGGTTCCACCCAGGGCCTGGGCTCTCTTTATTGTAATTATTATTTTTTTTAACTATCAGGATTGTTGTGAATAATAGAAGGGCCCAGCCGAACAGGGCCGGCCTGGATGGGCCACCCACGCTGTCATCTTTTGTGCGGGGCCGGCGGGGACGCCCCGGCCCAACCCCCGCGAGCCCCTAGCCCAGGCAGGACGCCCCAGCCTCCCGTCCCTGGCCCTGCTATTGTCCAGCCGCACCGCCCCCGCCCGAGGCCCAGCGGGCGCCCCGGGCCGGGCGGTTAACGCCCCCAACCTCCTCACAGGCCGGGACAAAGCGCGGCGACCGCGGCCAGAGCAGGCCTCACCCGAGGCCTGGGCCTCGAGTCCCGGGCGCTCGCCCGCCCACAGCCCCCGGAGTGGCGCGGGTGCGGCGGTGGCAAGGCCCGCGCTCGGATGCGGCGGCCGCCTCCCGCGGGCTCACCTGAGGCGGCGCGCGCGGCCCGATCCGGAGCAGAGGCGCGCGCTCCCCCGCCCTCGGCGTCGCACCCCCAGGTCCCGCTCGGGCCGGGCCCCGCTCGGTCGCTGGCGGCCGAGCCCTCCGCGAGCGCTACGGGAGGGGCTTATGAGGACGCGCGCCAGCCCCGCCCCGGATTCTATTGGTCCCCGAGCCCACGCCCGCGCGCCCATTGGCTACTGCTGACAGCTCCGCCCCTCCCCTCCGCCGGGCCGATCAACACAGCACCAGCCGCCTCCGGCAAGCCTCGACTAGGCGGGCGCAGGCCTCGGGTGCGCCTCCCTATTGGGCGGCAGGCGGGGACACGCCGGAGCCTACCCACGTGCCCGCTGACCGGCTTCATTTTCATTGGAGGCGGCATACGCCAGCCAAGGCGGCCGCAACCAACTAAACGGCGGCTGGGCCTCGGATTGACAAGGACGCCTCGGGGATCGAGGGGAACAAGCGGGTATTGGCTTGCGGGGTCAGCCCGAGGCGCGGGCTGGCTGAAGCGGGTGCCAATCACGGCTCTGGCCCCGCCCTAGTTATCAGGCAGCAGCTGAGTACGTGAGACCCAGCACAACATCAGCACCGGGTCCGGGAGGTGTGGCGATGGGGTTCGAGACTCGTAGCCGTAGCCGGAATTTGGGCGCAGAGTTCCCCAATTTAAAAAGTCCCGAGTTAGGAAGTATAGCCCCAACGCATGCCATTTTGCAAAGTTGGGGAACTGATAACTGTGGAAATAGAAGTCAAGCAGCAAATGTCCCCAAAACATAACCAAGTTCATTTCCATCACAATCAACCTTTGCAAAGGAGGCAAGGCCTTCCGGATAAAGTTAAGTGCCTCCCCTTCCTCCCCGCTAAAACTTAGGGGAAGGGAGGAGTTTGGTGTTACCTGACCTAGGTGCAAAGCTCAACTGGGGTTCACGCCTCACCGAGGATGGTCTCTTTGCTGGGCCTCAACTCTTCGCTGTGCCTATCTTCCCCCAGTGAAGTGGACATGATGGTCACACACACACACACACCACTGTCTGGCTCTCTCCTCCGAATGTTGCCAGAATTAAGTGGGAGGAGGCACGTAAAAGGTTTGAAAATGTGGCTTTGCATGGTGAACAATTAAGGTTTGCTATTGCCATCATTATTTTTTTTAAATATATTTTATTGATTTTTTTTACAGAGAGAAAGGGAGAGGGATAGAGAGCTAGAAACATCGATGAGCAAGAAACATCTATCAGCTGCCTCCTGCACATCCCTGACGCTCTATCCGCTGAGCCAAACCGGTTACGGTGCCATTATTATTAATTTTTTTTGAGGTATTCAACAGCATAGTTTATATGCACATTGGCGCAATCATTATTAATTGCATACCAGAAAGGGGTGTGAGCACGCCCCTATTTCACAGGGAGCAGTATAAACCGGACAATCGGACGTTTTCTTGTAAGCACTTACACTATATTCCTGGAAATCATGTACCCAGAGAAAGTAATTATACAATTGTTTACCGTGTTTTGCTCTAAATATCCATCCCTGTGGGATAAGTAACTTGTGGCCGAGGGTACTGTGGAATATTAACTGTACAGCAATGAAAAGAGAGAGAGGGATCCACATGTACTGTCTTGGAATGATCCCCTGCAGATGTTGCAGAGCAGCTGCAGAGGGATCCAGGATTCTATATCCAACATTTGAAACCAAACGCAGAGAAACCAATGTCAGGCTTCTACCAGCACATACCTATGTCAACACACAGAAAAAGGCCATTCCAAACTGAAAGAACTCAATCTTTGGGAAGAGGAGAGGTCCATGTTGGATTAAAAAGGTGGGGGGGTAGGGGGAGATAGTTGGTGAAGACTTGAATCTGTTCTGGAGTGTTTTTGTTGTTTGTTTTTTAAATATTTTAAATTTTATTGGGGTGACATTAGTCAACATGAACATATAGGTTACATGTGTGGATTACTAATTTACAAAATCTGTGTATAGAACCATGTGCCCCACCCAAAGTCAGATCTTTCCCTGTCACCTCATATTAGGACCCCTTTCTTCCCCCAACCTCCCTCCCTCTGGCAACCACCACACTGCTGTCTGGGGTGTTTTTAATCTTCCTGGGATCATATTCATATATATTCCTCATGTAGTTAAAATTTAACTTAAAAAATGGGAAATAACTGCCCCCTAGGAACTCCCTAACCAGTGGGAAAAACAAAAATGAAATTTGATAATGGTGTCACAAGTGCAATAATGAAGGAATTTTACACACACACACACACACACACACACACACTAGCCTTTTTTCTACTTCCAAGTTTATCATATAAGACAGTGAATTTACAGGTGTTTGGATTTCAGACTCTGAAATTTTAATTTAATTGGGGTACCTAAATAGGTTGTCAACTTTCTTCTTTGGCTTAGGAAGACATTTTATTAATGCCATCTATTATGTTAAAAATTTAACATTAACAACTGTAGAATCTAGACCAGCTGTGGGCTAACTACGGCCCTCGGGCCGGATCTGGCCCGTTTGAAATGAATAAAACTAAAAAAAAAAAAAAGACCGTACCCTTTTATGTAATGATGTTTACTTTGAATTTATATTAGTTCACACAAACACTCCATCCATGCTTTTGTTCCGGCCCTCTCGTCCAGTTTAAGAACCCATTGTGGCCCTCAAGTCAAAAAGTTTGCCCACCCCTGATCTAGACAGTAGGTATATTTAAAGATTCACTACACTTCTTTCAACTTTTGTCTGAAAAGTTTTCATGATAAAATGTTAGTGAAAAGTATAATCACCATCATTTTAAAAATATTTTTTATTGATTTTTAGAGAGAGGGGGAGGGAGAGAGAAACATCGCTGGCTCTCTTTTGCATGCCCCCTATTGGGATCAAGCCCACAACCTAGGAATGTGCCCTGACCAGGAATCCAACCAGCAACCTTTTGGTGCACAGGACGTTGCCTGAGACACACCAGACAGGGCTCACTGTTTCTTTAAGTGTCATATGCATTGTAGGAAGGACACACTCCCAGAATTTTCAAATGGACAAATTAGTTTGGGGAAAACACCTAACTGCCCTGTTATTTGTTTTTTCACATCTTTGCAGACAGGTGCAAATCTCGATTGGGGATCTCTCCCCTAAAGAAGGCCAGGAGGAGGTGCACTGGTACTGGCCTTCAAAGAGCTTGAAGCCTGATCTTTTTTTATAGACCTGGTCTTCACCTTCCCCAATGGATAAGGTGTGGAGCCGAGAAATGTCTCCAACTTTACAGACTCCTCCACTCCTGCTTCCAGGTGTCCGACGCATAAAAAATAGAGGTGGATGGAAAGATACGTCCTCCTATGTTTAAAAAACAAAGATTTGGGGGAGGAATTCTAGCATCCCAAACCTTCAAGCATATGTCACTAGACACGTAGCATGTTTCACATTTATGAGCACAGATACAAATATGCAAATATGCAAACACCAGACCATGGCACACATGGTTGTTTACTAAGGTGTTAGACAAAGTGGCTACTTGGTAAATGAACTGAAATCAATAGAAAACTGGGACCCTAGCTGGTTTGGCTCAGTGGATAGAGCGCCGTCTGCTGACTGTAGGGTTCAATTCCGGTCAAGGGCACATGCCCGGGTTGCAGGCTCAATTACCAGTAGGGGGCGTACAGGAGGCAGCTGATCAATGATTCTCTCATCATTGATGTTTCTCTTTCTCCCTTTCCCTTCCCTCTCTTAAAGCAATAAAAATGTATTACAGCCCTAACCGGTTTGGCTCAGTGGATAGAGCGTCAGCCTGCAGACTCAAGGGTCCCAGGTTTGATTCTGGTCAAGGGCATGTACCTTGGTTGCGGGCACATCCCCAGTAGGAGATGTGCAGGAGGCAGCTGATCTATGTTTCTTGCTCATCGATGTTTCTAACTCTCTATCCCTCTCCCTTCCTCTCTGTAAAAAATCAATAAAATATATTTTTTTAAAAAATGTATTACAAAAAAATAACTGGACACAAGGCAGAATATATGGCACGGTTCTAATTTTGTTCTTTAAGTTTACATATAAAATATATAAATATACATATGCCTCACCTGCAAAACAGACAAGTCAAAACTGTATCAGAGGGTTGTTCTGAGGTTGAATATTACAATGACACACATACATGTACAAAGCCTGAAAATTGTAACCCGCTGGTTGGCAGAATTATGTATTTTGACTTTTTCTTCATGTAGTCAGTTTCCAAGTGTTCTAAAGGGGTTGTGTATGAATTTTATAATCTGGGATGAAGGAAAAGGATATTTTACATTAAAAAGTCAACCAGATGGATTGAAATATGTGGCCCACCTGCACAGTGGAATATTAGCCACAAATATATGGATGAACCTTGAAAACATGAGACCACAAAAGGCCAAGTATTTCATGATTCCATTCATATGAAGTGTTCAGAACAGACAAATCCAGCGAGTGGATTTGTGGTTGTGGGGCTGGAGGATTGTGTGAGGTTGCTTTTGGGGTGATGGAAACCTTCTGGAACTAGAAAATGGTGATGGTCACACAAGTTCGTGAACATGCTAAAAAACCAATGAACTGTACACTTTAAATAGGTGAATGTTATGGCAGCATGAAATGTATTTCAACAAAGCCATTTTTTAAAATTTTATAAATCTACCAGGAAAGAAATATGCCCAATATTGCGATTATTTCTGCATAGTGGTTCCACAAATATACTTGTTATATTTAACTTTGAAAATGAGAGAAACACCCCAAAATTCCACAATCTTGACAATGAACCCACCTCAATGTGTTCTGTCCCATATAGGGCCCACCCAGGGACACACTCATCTGTCTCTATGGATTCCTGTATTGGAGATTTCATATGAAATCATATGTGATCACTGTGACTGCCTTCTTGCACTTAGTATGTTCACACTCATAACACATTTTTAAGGACCAAAGAGGCAGAACTTTCTTATTAAATCTGCCCATGTCATTACCTGGCTGTCAATAAAAAGCACCGGGTAATAGGTCAATGTAAATAAAAACCTCTTCAGAATTCAGCACTAGTACCTTCCCTCATCGTGTCCTGACTTCCCCTGGAATTAGCATTTCAGGTTATCAGTCCCCACACACCCGGTATACCCAAATTTCCCCAGACCTGCAGACTCCCAGAGACCACTGCAGCCTAGGGTTCCTCAAACGTAAATGGAGACAGAAGCACATTAGTGAGAATAAGTAACCACCCCCATTCCAAACTGTCTGCTGACCCCATAAAGGTCAAAGCCAAACCCCTCCTGAGCAGGAGTTAGAACCACTGCCCATCACTTTGATCTTCTGGGTCTCCGTTTTCTCATCTGCCAACTGAGGATGAGGCTACCCTGCCTAGTCTGTCTCCTGGGGTTTTTGTGAAAATAAAATAATAGAAACAGAAGTACCCGGTGGGCTACAAAGCGATTTGCAAACAGGAGAAGACAACCAAATGCATCTGTAAAAGACATTTATTCTGAGAGTCTAAAATCTGGACAAAGAATATTGAACTTTATAGAAAATGCCTACACAGGATTTTGTCATTTCTTCCTAATACATTAACCACCTAATAAAGAGGAAAAAAACCTTTCAAACAATATTGTTCCAGTTTGTCTGCAGTTATGTGATTTAAAATATCCCTGTTCTATTGAGGTATGAGCTGCAAACTTTGGTAAAGTTTGTAGAAAAATTAACAAATAATTCCAAAAAAATAAAAAAATAAAAAATAAATCCCTAAGTTATAGATTTCTTGGTACATATACAGTAACTACAAAAAAATTTCATTTAGAAAAAGTATTTATTTTAAAAACAAATTCCCTCTTGTAAATCTCAATTGGTGAGTTGAAAATTCAATGTAAAGGAAGAACAAAACTCAACCTATCCCCAAACACTCACCCAGATTTGGAAAGAACTGGCTGGCCAATCTGAGAGTCTGGTTGGCATTTTCAGTAATTCAGTGCTAAAAAAAGAGCCCCGTGTATAGAAAGGAAGAACCAAAGGCACTTGAACATGGCTTCGTGCATCTACCTCTGCGGCGTTCCAGAGGGGACAGCGTTTGGCTGCACACCCAGCTCCACACACAGGACAGTCCAGCGGAGGTAGCTTCTGTGTGGCCTCAACTCTGCTCAAGGGACACAGGTCTCTGCTTGTGGGTCTTAACCCCGGAAGCAGGCTGGTGGCGGATGGCTGTGAGGCCAGAGTTTAAACTGGGCTGAATGGGATCTTTTCCTTTTTCCCTTTCAACAGGTCCTGATGGATGACTCCTGGGCCACGACACACCCAGGGCCACCACCAGGTACCACCCTGCTGAGTTCTGGCGATGAACCGCTGTCAGGAGGTGTGCCCGCTTTCAGCTTTGGGGCCAAGCCCACACACCTGGGAAAGATGGTTCTAGGCAGTCAATGCCATCCTGCAGGAGCCTCTGAGAACCCGATGTTGGCAACACAGCGGCCTTCGGGCCAAGTAATTTCTAATTTCATCTTCTGAAAAAGCATTTGTGTTCTTGCTCATACACTGCAGGCTTTATACTTTTTAAAAAAACCAAGATAAAACACTGAGCAGTCTAACTTTCTTTCTTTCTTTGAGCCATAATACAAATTCCTAAAAATTTATAGATTAAAAAAACAAAACCAGGAAGACAAGGGTTTTTAAGAAGTAGAGGAAAAACTACATACTTAAGTTAAGCCCACTAAAAACAGGAGGGGCCGAGGACGCCTCTGATGCGTTTTTTAAAAACGCCCGGCGAGAAGTGCTTGTGGATCACCGTCCATTGCCATAACCGGGGAAGAGCTGGGTGAGGATTGCCTGCAGCGGCTGGTTCACCTTCATGGAGTAGTTTCGGCCCAGTTCGCCACGGCAGGCGGGGCAGCTGAACACCTGGGCTCTGAAGGATCTATCCAGGCAATTCTACAAGAGAGAGTAGGAAGGTGAGACGTTCCATCCATGTCAGTGGAGCCACTCCTGGCCTCCCACTGTCCCCATTGACAGAGTTGAGAGCACTTACTGACTTCTCATGGGGTCCAGAGGGCCCCTCCTGGTCCTCAGTCTCACTTTCTACCACTCACTGCCCATTGCCAGCCTGACCTCCCAAGGACCCCTCAAAGACTAGTTCATCCTGGCCCCCAGGCCTTGGCACTTACAGATTACACCACCTAGCAGGTCTGTCCTCTGGCTCTCCCGTCACTCCTGCCTTGGCTCAAGTCACCTCCTCAGAGGACCCTTCCCTGACAGCCCTTAAGCATCATCTTAAGCAGCCCCACCACAGCCAGTCCTGTCACCTCCCCAATTTGCCTTAAAACAGCATCTTTTCTGCCTTCTGGCATCGTGTTATTTACTAACATTTGTCTCTAATAGGCCAGATGCTCCCTGTGATATGGAGCTGTATCTCACTGACTTCCCCAGCACCAAGCATAGTAGGTGATAGATAAAATGCGTCAATGAGAAGAAAGGAAGAAAGGAAGGAATTCTGGCTCTGAGCCAGACTTCTGGGTTCAAACTAAGCCAGGTGGAGATAGTTATGACTCGGACAGGCCTTGAAGAGCCAACTTCCCAATCAGAGAAACAGGGAAGACCCAAACAGAGAAACAGGCCTGAAGAGCCAACTTCCCAATCAGAGAAACAGAGAATCAGAGAAACAGGGAAGTATTTTAAGGCCAAATACTAGTCCATTGTCTGGATGGACCACACTCTCTGTATCATTCATCTGTTGATGGACACTTGAGTTGTTACCACCTGGGCAGAGACAATGCACACATGTATGCAGACACCTGCATAGGTGTGCACACCTGACGGATGACATCAGGCAACTGGGTAAATGTGAACACGATGGAAAGCCTGCTGACGCTATGGCACGTTCCCCCACAAATGCATACTGAGGCTTTTGTTTGACATTCTTTCAATTCCTAAATTCCTTTTCAATAAAAAGTTTATGGCCTTGATTCCGGGAACAAAAGGTAGCTCTTTCTGCTCAAAACAACTAAGATTTGGGTCTATGTTCAAAAATCAGGTTCTGGATCACTGCATGACTCATAGCACCCAACAGGGGGAAACAACTCAAGTGTCCATCAACAGATGAATGATACAGAGTGTGGTCCATCCAGACAATGGACTAGTATTTGGCCTTAAAAAGGAAATTCCGACACACCCACTACAGTGCAGATAAATCTTGAGGACATGATGCTCAGTGAGAGAAGCCAGACACAAAAGGACAGATATTCAGGAGGTTCAGTCATAGGAGGTCCCTAGAAGAGTCAGATCCACCGAGAGAAAGTAGATGGTGGTCAGTAGATGAGTGGATGAAAAAGCTGTGGTACATTTACACCATGGAATACTCTGCAGCAGTAAAACAGAATCTCTTACCCTTGAGACAGCATGGAGGGACCTGGAGGGTATCAAGCTAAGTGAAATAAGCCAGTCAGAGAAAGACAGGTATCACATGATCGCACTCATATGTGGAATCTAATAAAATGAACGGAGTGGATCCAGAGACATGGAAGCATGGAACAGAGTGCAGAAACTCGGAGGGAAGGCGGGGGAGGGTGGGTGAGTGGGAGGTAATCAACCAAAGACCTTGTATGCATATATGCATGGCTCATGGCCACAGACGATAAGAAGATGGTAAAGACCTGGGGTGGGCTGGAGGGGGTCAATGGGGGAAAAAGGGGCCTATGTAATACTTGCAACAATAAAGATTACAAAAACAAAAAAAAAGTAGATGGTGGGAACCCAGGTGCTGGGCAGGAGGATGGAGAGTTAGTGTTTAATAGGGACAGAGTTTCAGTTTGTAAAGATGGGAAAGTTCTAGAGGTGGATGGTGGAGATGGTTCCACAACAATATGAATGTACTTAATGCTACTGGACTAGACACTTAAAATGGTTAGGATGCCCTAGCTGGTTTTATCCCAGTGGATAGAGCGTTGGCCTGTGGACTGAAGGGTCCCGGGTTCGATTCCGGTCAAGGGCATGTACCTTGGTTGCAGGCTCCTCCCCAGCCCGGTCCCTGGTTGGGGCGCATGCAGGAGGCAACCAATCGATGTGTTTCTTCACATCGATATTTCTGTCTTTTCCTCTCCTTTCACTCTCTCCAAAATCAATGGGAAAATATCCTCAGATGAGGATTTTAAAAAAATGGTTAGGATGGTAAATTTTATGTTATGTGTATTTTACTATAATAAAATTATTTAATAAAATGAGATAAAAAAATAGGTGCTGGGACATCAAGGTGAGGATCGTTTTCCCATAACCCTCACATGCTGATGTTCTGGGAGATGGAACTACAGTTGCATGGACAGCCGGGGCAGACACATAAATGTCGGTACCCTCTTCCTTCACAGCCTTGGCACTTGGTTTTTGGAAAGAGAGGAGAGGAGAGGGAGAGAAACATTAATGTGAGAGAGAAACATCAATCTGCTGCCTCCTGCACGATCCCACTAAGGATGGATCCCACAATCCAGGCATGTGCCCTGACCAGGAATCGAACTGGTGACCTTTTGGTTGGTGCATGGGACAACACTCAACCGAGCCACAATGGCCAGGGCAGCCTTGGCACTTTAATGGCACATATGAGACGCTTGGTCCCTGAAACCCCATCAATTCAGCCCATTTCTGCAGTGCTATCCAGGACTGACGTTTTGTAAGCTCCCCCTGCATCAATGGCCCGCTCTGCCTGCTTGCCTAAAGCACTTTAGCATGTGTCACCTACAGCCAGAAGCAGGCCAGAAGGCACTGCTACGCCCCTTTTCACTGAAAGGGCAACTAAGGCTCGGAGAGTTGGGTGGCTTTCCAAGGATGGGAGGGGCAGAGCTGGGTGGAGGGTCAAACCCTGGCTGCTGGCTCCAAAGCCCGTATCTCACCACCAATCCCGAGCCACTTCTCCAAGACACAGAGTTGAAGGAACACCATCAGCCCATGTAACATGGTGGCAGGTGGCAGAGCCCAAAAGCAGAAAAGTGGAGGCCTGGCTCTGATGGCCAAACCACCACACTGCTTCATGTTCTCTGAGCCCCTCCCCGAGGGTGACAGCTGAGGGACTGAGCCAGCCTCAGGGCAAGGAAGGGGGCCAGATCCGAGAACGAAAGAGCCAGAAGCTCAGGGACCAAGGGTGACCAGGGGGTGGGGACAGTCACTTCTGACACCATCTGCCTACACTGCCCATAAGTTCCTATTAACAGACTTGGGCCAGAAAACACTGCAAAGAAACCAGTTACACAGGCCAGTGCTTCCCACCTGGACAATTCTGCCCCCAGGGGACACTGGGCCATGTCTGGGGATATTTGTGGTTGTCATGAATGGAGAAGCGAGTGGATGGGGATCAGGAAGCTGTTCAACCTCCTCCCCCGCCCCCTGGTGCCCAAAATGCCCCCCCCCCCCCAAGAGAATGTTCTGGCCCCAATGTCCACAGTGCAAGGGGAAGGGGAGACCCTGGTTAATCTGATCTCAGCTCCCCATCTCTCTTTCAATCACATTGTTTCTCTCCTGACACTGACCACCAGGCAGAGCCTATGGCCCACCTCCCAGCCCTACATCCCCTCCAGGCCCCAGCTGTTCAGGCATGCCTGCCTGTCCAAACTTCTGCACATGCCATCCCGCCAATCTGGAATGCTTCCCAGAGGCCCTCTTCAGATAACAAGCTAAGGCCCCCTCCTCCAGGAAGCCTTCCTCCTGGCTCCTCTAGGAGACAAGCACCTCATGCCTCTACAGCCTGCTCTTTTTAAAAATATGTTTTTACTGATTTTAGAGAGAGAGGAAGAGAGAGATAGAAACATCAATGCCTCAACATCGATCAGCTGCCTCCTGCACACCCCCTACTGGGATTGAGCCTGAAACCCAGCCATGTGCCCTGGCCAGGAATTGAACCAGGGACCTCTTGATACAGGGGTCGATGCTCAACCACTGAGCACACCAGCTGGGCTCTACCGCCTGCTTTACAGACATTTATTATGACAAGACCTCAGGCCAGGACTGCCGACTATCCTCCCCCACCCTGGACCCCCAGGTACACGAGAGACTTGGGGAGAGTGTTCCAGAGGGAGGAGAGAACCAGCCAACACACAGAAGAGGGAATCATGAGGCGAGGTGACACTGGAGTGCCAGGCGGCCCAGGTGGGTCGGTGACTGGGGCAAGGATTTGGCATCTGATTCCACAGCACCAGGGAAGCACGGGAGGGTGGGGAGTGGGGAAGGGGGGCGATGGGATCCCTTGATGAAGGCCGGGAGGCAACTATGACCACGGCTATTTGGAAAACAGACACTAAGGCCCTGCAAAGGGAGCCAGGAGAGTGCAGAAGCCAAGCCAACAAGCCCATACTACGTGCTGGGTGTATGGCAGCCCAGCTCCCATGCCCACGCCTCTCACCTTGCACACGTTATGTTGGCACACGGTGGTGATCGGGCGGAATACCAGTTCCTGGCAGCAGATACACTGGAATGTTTCTTCTACTTTATTCAGGAATTTCTGAAACCAGAAGAGAGGATGCATGAGACCAGCAGAACCTTACACCGAAATGAACCATGCTGATGGAATCCTCAGAAAACGGGGCTCCCTACTAGAGCCTGGCCCTGGTTCCCTAATGTAATCCTCCTATCCTTACCCCAGGAGACAGGAGCGGTGTGATCCCCATTAAGATGAGAAAGCAGAGGCCCAGACCGGTGCAGGCCCTGCCCAGGACCTGGAGACGGGCACGGCCTGCCCGGGTCACAGCCTCCACAGGGCTGAGCAGGACACCCAGGGTCGGGGTCCAGAGCAGGCTTTAGCTGAGGGCGTGAATCTAGATCACTCAGTAAATAAGGCTGAGTGCCTTCTATGTGCTGCCTGGGCACGGGGTCCAGCAGTGGATTAAACTGAAGAACCCTATGCCCTCACGGAGTTTGGAGCCCTGTGGGGGGTGGGGAGGGGGGCAAAGATAAAACGAGGAAAGCCCTGACCGGTTTGGCTCAGTGGATAGAGCGTTGGCCTGCGGACTGAAAGGTCCCAGGTTCAATTCCAGTCAAGGGCATGTACTTTGGTTGCGGGCACATCCCCAGTAGGAGGTGTGCAGGAAGCAGCTGACCGATGTTTCTCATCGATGTTTCTAACTCTCTATCCCTCTCCCTTCCTCTCTGTAAAAAAAAAAAAATCAATAAAATATATTTTTTAAAAAAAAATGAGGAAAGACAGAAATGTCACAACAGTGCTAGGAAATACAGCATGGAGCCTGGGAGGGGCCAATCCAAAGTGCAGGTGGTCACAGAACACTCTGTAGAGAAGGTGACCTGAAGGACATGTGCCCGGCTAAACCATGCCCCTAAAATACATCTGAACCCCAGGATCAGTGTATGCGTTCCCTTCCATTTAAAAGAAACTGCAAATAGAATTAAACTGAGGACCCTGAGATGAGACTACATTAAACTAAATAAGTTTTTGGCCCAGCCGGGTGTGGCTCAGTGGTTGAACATCAACCCAGGAACCAAGGGGTCACAGGTTCAATTCCTGGTCAGGGCATATGCCTGGGTTGCAGGCTCGATCCCCAGGAGGGGACGTGCAGGAGGCAGCCGATAAGTGGTTCCCTCTCATCACTGATGTTTCTCTCTCTCTTTCCCTCTCCCTCCCTTTCTGAAGTCAACAAAAATACATTTTTAAAAAGTTTGCATAACAAAGGAAACCATCATCAAAACAAAAAGACCACCTACTGAATGTGAGAAGATATTCACTAATGATACATATGATAAGGGATTAATATCCAAAACGTATATATAAAGAACTTGGACAATTTAACACCAAAAGACAAATAACCTGGTTTAAAAATGGGCAGAGAACCTAAGTAGACATTTCTCCAAAGAGGACTACAGAAGGCCAATAGACATGTGGAAAAAAATACTCAACATCACTAATCACCAGAAATGCAAATTAATCATCTCACACCGGTGAGAATGTCTATCATCAATATATCAACAAACAACAAGGGTTGGTGAGGATTTGGAGAAAAGGGAACCCTCGTGCATTGTTGGTAAAAATGCAGACTGACATAGCCACTGTGGAAAACAATATGGAGTTTCCTCAAAATATTGTAAAACTAGAACTGCCATATGACCCCGCAATCGCACTTCTGGGTACAGACAGCCCCCAACTTACAATTTTTCAACTTTGCAATAGTGTGTAGGTGATACCCATTTAGTAGAAACCGTACTTGAATTTTGAATTTTGATCCCGTCCCGGGCTAGTGATACGCAGTCTGATACTGACCTGTGGAGCTGGGCAGCGGCAGAGAGGGGCTCTTGCCCAAGTGGAGGTTCATGGACGTGCCTGCGCACATGCTCAGTGGGCTGAGCTCAACTGTGATATTCAGTAGGTTAGATGCATCAAATGCATGTGACTTACGACAGATTTGTGGGGACAAAGCCCCACGGTAAATTGAGGAACATCCATATATACCCAAGAGAACTGGAAGCCGAGACGCACAGAGATGGTTGCACACCCGTGTACATAGCAGCGTGATTCACCATGGCCAGAAAATGGAAACCACCCAACTGTCCACTCACAAATGACAGATACACAGAATGTAGTCTTTCCAGACAATGGAATATGATTCAGCCTTAAAAAGGAAGTTCTGACACCTGTTACAATGTGGATGCACCTGAAGACATTATGCTTAGTGAAATCAGCCAGGCACAAAAGAACAAAAAAATACTGTGATTCCACTTTCAGGAGGTCCCTGGAGGAGTCATTCAGACAGGGGCTGGGGGAGGTCATGGGCAGTTCTAGTGTAGAACGGGGACTGAGTTTCAGTTTGGGAAGATGAGAAATTTTTGGAGATGAATGATGGGGTGAATGCATGATGTGAATGTCTTTTAATGCCACTGAGCTGTACACTGAAAAGTGGTTAAGATGATGCACTTCATGTTATCTCTATTTTGTTATAATAAAAAAAAATGATGGGGAAAGGGGGTGGAATGCGGACAAAGGGTTCGAAAGGCCGCTCAGGCCATACGGGTGCTCACCGGCCCATCCTTGAGTGACTTGAGGATCTCGGTCCACAGCTTAGTGTTGCTCTGGTCCTGCTTGATGAGGGCCTTCTGCTGGGCTGTGAGGCTGTAAGGCTCCACCTTGGTTTTCTTGGGTGTAACCCTGGGGGAGCAGGCACCTGAGACAGAGCAGAGTGGTGAGGGCGGGCGAGGCCAAGAGCACATGGACAGGCTGCCCATGGAGAGGGACCTACCTTCTGACTTACTCCTCCGTTTGCTCTTCCTGGGGGACGTGAAATCTTCCTCTTCTTCCTCCTCTTCGTCTTTCTCCTCTGCCTCTTCAGTCGGCCTCTTTCTGTTCTCTTTCTCCTTCTCCTTCTTGGCCAGAGCCTCAAGGTAGCCTTCCGGATACTACGAAAGGGCAAAGGCACAGGCTGGAGCGGTGGGACTCCTGGGTGACCCAGACTTCCTGTGGGGTGGGGGACCGGCGACTGCCCCACCTGACATCTGCCACACTGGCTCCGCACATCCTGCCATCTCCCATCTCCCCTCACCTCAAAGTCACTCCCTCCCCCGACCCCATACCAGCCTTAAAAGCCTTAACTCCTTCTACTTCTACAGCCTCCAATCTGAGGCCTCCACTCAACTCAGGAGCCTGGAGCAGCAATCTCATCACCGCACTTACCAAGAATGCAGGGCTAACCTGCCCTGGCAGGGTGAGAGTGACGCATTAAATGAGACCGTGCAGGTAAAATTCTTAGGGTCAGATCAAGCCAATATGATAATTTTATTATCTTCATTATTTCCTTTAAGGGGTAGGCAAACTTTCCCACAAGGGGTCGGGTGGTAAATATATCTCCAGCTCTGCCGTGGTTGCACCGAGAAAACTTTTTTTGCAAACAACTGCCCCAGGGGGCCTTACTGCCATCCAACCTCATTTCGATGGCCCTTGGGTTCCAGGTCCGCACAAGCATTACTTGGTTATAACCCCATATCTAAGGCACCTAGAGTCATGTCTGATTTGGAAATATTTTATCAAGAAACTTCCAACCTTTTTTAAAAGAAACACTAAGTTGCAATGGAAACTGAAATCATAAATAAAAACCCTACTCCCATCAGATGCTGATGTTCCTGTCCCAGTTCCTCAGCTTCTGAAATTACCCGTTACGGGTACACACGTCACGTTCAACTCCTTGTGACACCCCCCAGAGGATAGGCACTATCAGCTTCTCAGTGACAATTAAGACTCCTTAAATAGGCCCAAAACAGTTACCAGCTGCTAGAGCACCTCACAATAATAAATAGAAAACACCACAATTATAGTGCCAAAAGCTCTATGGCAGCACAGGGTGAATTCTTGGAAAATAGAAGATTCCATTTCTGTAAAGAGGCAAGCGATGGCCGGGAGGGACCAATCCTCCTTATCTTTAGAACTGACTTCTCTACATTCCACCAGTTTCGTTGGTTTCTTTTTCCCCCAGGTAAACCTATCTACTATAACACCGGTGAGACAAGTCTGGATCTCAACTCTAAAACTATGAACACACTCTGCGCATCCCAATCTCCACTGGCTGCGGCACTGAAATGGGGCAGACAGCAGCAAGATGCGGCCAGCTCGGCTCCTGGACATCATTTAGGCTGAAAGAGAAACCCGGAGAGCTGCCAGGCCAAGAAGGCAGGCTCTGGCTAACTGAGCACTCACAGCCGTTCTCCTGCCATGATCCCCAGGGACTGACCAGGAAGACGATGTTCAAACCAGGACTGCTGGGCCAGGCGAGCACAGCCTACACGCACCTGCATGGTCAGTCCCAGCTGCTTGATCCGGTTCTTCCCTTTCTTCGTCCAGGGGCCAGGTTCCTCGTCGTCCCTCCGCAGAAGATAGCGCCATACCAGGAAGCCGGACTTCCCCTTCTCAGGCCAGTACCTCACAACCTGTGGGAAGTGAGAGCCCGTGTCAGTGTCATCTGGGACTGGAGGTGGCGCCGGTGGGCGCAGGGAGGACCTCTCACCTTGTAGATGCCGTCGTACCGGTTGCCCTCAGTGGGGGCGTATTTGCTGTGCTTGCGGCCCTTGACGTTGCGCACCACCCGGACCGGCTTCCCTGAGCGCCAGTCCTTGGCCTCGGCCCCTTTGCGTTCGTTGATGGGGGCGCTGCAGTTGAGAGCCAGTGCCCTGCAGGGGGAGTGGGGGGTCACATGCTATTGTTTGGATCGTATCCCCCAAAAAGAAAGGGCATTCTAACCCATGGAACCTATGAATGTGACCTTCTTTGGGAAAAGGGTGCTTGCAGATAAAGTCAAGTTCAGAGGAGGTCAGAATGGATGAGGGGAACCCTAAATCCAATGACTAGTGTCCCTAGAACAGTGGTTCTCAACCTTCTGGCCCTTTAAATACAGCTCCTCATGTTGTGACCCAACCATAAAATTATTTTCGTTGCTACTTCATAACTGTAATGTTGCTACTGTTATGAATCATAATGTAAATATCTGATATGCAGGATGGTCTTAGGTGACCCCTGTGAAAGGGTCGTTCGACTGCCAAAAAGGTCTCAACCCACAGGTTGAGAACCACTGCCCTAGAAGAAAAGGAAATTGAGACACAGACACACAGAGGAGGACACCGTGTAAAGACGGAGGCAGAGGCTGGAGTGATGCCGCCACAAGCTGAGGGACCAAGGATTGCTGGTAGCCACCAGCTGAAGAGGCAAGGACCCTCCCACAGAAAGTTCAGTGGGAGCATGACTCTGACATCTTGATTTTGACTTTGAGCTTCCAGAAATATGCGAGACTTTCTGTTGTTTTAAACTACCCGGTTCGTGGTATTTCATTACTGGAGCCACGAGCTACTAGCACGGCATGTGGGGAGGACATCATCAAGAAAAAGAGGAGGCAGCAAACAAGGGCTGGCCGGGCAGGTCTGTCTCGCCCAAGGGCACAGGGGCCTGGGAAAAGCCAACCAGAGGTCAGGCTCAGCACTCTGACCTCTCTATTGGGTGTGAAAGAAAAAAGAGCTGCAACTCTGCAACTGTTTTCTAGGTGCAAACAGTAATTTTTTTTTTAATGTAATCACCTTTATTTATTTTTTTGTTTGTTTGTTTGTTTTTGTTAATCCTCCCCCGGGGATATTTTTCCATTGATTTTTAGAGAGAATGGAAAAGAGAGGGAAAGACAGAGAGAAGCATCGATGTGAGAGAAACACATCGATTAGTTGCCTCCTGCAGGAGCCCTGACCAGGGCCCAGGCCAGGGAGGAGTCTGCAACCAAGGTACATGCCCTTGACCAGAATCGAACCTGGGACCCTTTGGTCCGCAGGCCGATGCTCCATCCACTGAGCCAAACCAGCCAGGGTGCAAACAGTACTTTAAACAAGTTTCTTAGTTTGTGTGCAGCAAGTACCACTTAATGTTAGCTTACGGGCAGTTCCTCACATTAAACCTTTTCTGAAAACATGGTTTTTAACAGCTACTGAAATTAAAATATTCCATTAAACAAATGTACAACAAACCCTTCCTTTAAAAAAAAACAAAAACAAAAAAACATTCAGGTACTACTAATACTTTGCTATTTTACATACTGATACGATAAACATTACTAATTATAAGATTTTCCCCTCCCCATGTCTCATCATACACTTTCAAAGTAGAATTAGTGTCATAAGATCATTTTCAACACCTTCCCAGAAAGAAGGTACCCACTTGTATTTCTGTTGGAACACCAGTCTATGTCTTGGCATTTCACAGGGGAAATAAATAGTATTCCACCATCACTTCAATTTGTATTTCTTTGCTTACTAAAGTTGAATAATTTTTTATGGTCATTAGAGATTTCCATTTCTTTTGTGAATGATCTTATTTTTCTATGAGTTTTTTTTGTTGTTGATTTGCAACAGCTCTTTACATAACAATCCTGTGTCATGTTTGTTACAGATTTTCCCCCAAAGAGTCATCTGATCTTCATTTTACTTATGGATTTTACTAATGCAATTTCTAATATTTAGGTCATCAAATCTATCTTTTCCTTTGGGTTTTATGATACCTTTTTTTTAATATTTTTTTATTGATTTTAGAGAGAGAGGAAAGGAAAGGGAGAGAGAGAGAAAACAACGTGAGATGTGAGAGAGAAACATCCATCAGCTGCCTCCTGCACGCTCCTTAAAGGAGATGGGGCCTGCAACCCAGATATGTGTTCTGACCTGAATCAAACCGGCCAGGGCAAGGCTTTAGGATACTTTTTATGCTTACAAAGACTTTCCCTCCCTGGCTGGTTTGGCTCAGTAGATAGAGCATCGGCCCACAGACTGAAGGGTCGGGTTTGATTCGGGTCAGGGCATATACCTCAGTTGCAGACTCATTCACATACAGGAGGCAAACAATTGATGTGTCTCTGTCACACCAGATGTTTCTCTCTCTCTCTTCCCCCTTCCACTCTCTCTCTCTCTAAAAAAAAAAAAAAAAAAAAAAAAAAAAAAAAAAAAAAAAGGAAAAGTATTCTCGGATGAGGATTAACAACAACAAAAAATACCTTTCCCTATCCTACAAATGAGGGGTCAGCAAACTTCAGCCCACTGATTGTTTTTACAAATCAAGTTTTATTGGAACACAGCCATGCGTGTTTACTTATGTAAGTTCTGCAGCTGCTTTCGTGCTATGATGGCAGAGTTGACTGGCTGCAACAGAGATCATGCAGTTCAAAAAGCCAAAAGATTATCTGGCCTCTTCAGGGGAAAATTCACTCTAAGGCAAGCATGTCAAACTCAAAGGCTAACACGAGCCAAATAAGTGTAAGTTTATGTGGGCCGCAAAAAACAAAAGCTTCAACTTTCACAGAAACGTAGGTTTATCTCAATAGAGACATGCTGAATACAATGGGAGCAAATAAATGAGTCATCGTTAACATAAAACAGAACATTTTAATAAAAATTAGTATTTTTGCTTGAACATTAACTTACCAGACACTGAATAACTGCACAAATTAATAAGCATAATGCAAATAAACCTATTTCTCTTGTTCTCGGAAAGTGAAGTATTTCTTGTTGCACACACCAAACAAGTCAGTCCAAGAATAATGACATGGCAATCAGCTGCTAGAATATTCGCTGCTAGTATTAGTGGAGAGAAATGGTGCGCCTGCATGTAAGGCGTGTAGGGGAAATGAATGCAACACGATTAATCAGTCATTAGCGAACGTTGTAGTTCGTTATTAATAATTATGTATAATAGGATATTGTAAAAATTAAGTTGTGAAATTTTTATTAAAATGTTTCTTACATTCCATTATATTGGCTGGGCCACAAAAATGTTCGTTGTGGGCCGCATGTGGCCCGTGGGCTGCGAGTTTGACATGCTTGCTCTAATGCATTGAATGACTCACAAGTCTTTAGCAGACAGAGATAGAAAGATGTGGATTTTCAGCATCCATATGTTCTACCACACTCTTAAAAGGAATCTAACTTCCTGGACATGACACCCTAAAACAGAACCAACCCCCTTCCCTGGGTAGCCGCCAGAGGACGCAGCAGAAGTGAGTTGGTGAAAAAATAAGAAAACCTTGTTTCTGCGAACCTGTTGGTGTTGGTGAGTTTCTGATCACAGGACTGTTCTGCAGTCCGCTTGTTGCCGGAAAGATCTCGACCACCGCTACCAGTATACGTGAAAGACTCCCCATTGTCCTGCAACAGGGAAGAGCAAGCTGAACCCTCCACAGAGGAAAGACTCCACTAAAAATAAACCCACAACACCCGCTAGAATGTCAACTGTCAAACAGAAAATAACCAGTGATGATGAGGATGTGGAGAAATTGGAACCCTGTGCACTGCTGGTGGGAATGGAAAATGGGGCAGCTGCTGTGGAAAATGCTATGGAAGTCCCTCGAAAAATGAAATGTGACCCAGCAATGCCACTTCTGGGTCTGTCTCTACCCAAAAGAATTGAAAGGGCATTTCAGAGATATCTGTACACTCACGTTCACAGCAGCGTTATTCACAATATCCAAGAGGTGGGAGCAACCCAAGTATCCATTGATGGACACACACAATATGGTCCGTTCAGACAATGGAATATTATTCAGCCTTAAAAAGGGAAGGAGCCGAAACCGGTTTGGCTCAGTGGATAGAGCGTCGGCCTGCGGACTGAAAGGTCCCAGGTTCGATTCCAGTCAAGGGCATGTACCTGGGTTGCGGGCACATCCCCAGTAGGAGATGTGCAGGAGGCGGCTGATCAATGTTTCTCTCTCATTGATGTTTCTAACTCTCTATCTCTCTCCCTTTCTCTCTGTGAAAAATCAATAAAATATTTTTTTTTTTAAAAAAAAAAGGGAAGGAAATTCTGCAATATGCTCAACATGGATGAACCTTGAAGACATTATACTCCATGAAATAACCCAGTCACAAAAGGACAAATACAGTGTGATTTCACTCACAGGCAGTCCCTAGAGGAGTCAGATTCATCGAGACAGAAAGGAGATGGTGGGAGCCAGGGGCTGGGAGAGAGGGATTGGACATTATTGTTTAATGGGGACAGAGTTTCAGTTTGGGAAGATGAGAGAGTTCTAGAGATAAATGCTGGTGATGGTTACACATCAATGTGAATGTATTTAAATTCCACTGAGATGTGTACACTTACAAAGTGTTAATATGGCACATCTTATGTGTATTTTACATTTAAAAAATAAATAAAACCACCCCCACTCACCACATCGTCCTCATACCCCCCAGACAGGACCAGGGAGTACGCCCCATCATTGCTCCGGCCATGGATGCCCGCCACGTGCGGCCGATGGACCCCCGACTCACTGACCTGTGAAAACCACCGAGAAACAAATGGCACCATCTGGACTGGCTGCTTAGAAACGCTCCCCCTCACCCTCCTGCTGCTGCTTTCAGAGCCAGGGGCCTGACTTTCCCTCCGAGTGTATCACGCCTGTTATGAGAACCTCGCCCCTGAAGCTGGGCCACAGCACAGGAGGAGCTGGCTTGAATTCCAGCCATGCCCCCTGCTCGAAGGGTGGCCCTCTCCGGCGACGGGGCTTCTGGAAGATCAGTGCCTGAGGCCAAACTCCAGATGTTTACGAGTACCTGGACTCTGAACCTCCACATGGTGCCCACGGGGATCCCTGGGATGGGTCCGTAGTGGTTGGATGGAACGATGGTGCACTCCTTGGTGCGCCCCACGCACGCCATGCCCTGTCCAGTCCAGAAAGAGATGGAAGACAGTGTGAGTGAGCACGGGAGGGCGGGCAGAGCTGCCGGGGGCGTACAGAGCAAGGGGGCCACCTCACCTTGCCCCAGTCCCGCTGCGAGGACGATGTGGCCGATGCCATTTTCGACTTCTTCTTACTCTCTTTCAGCTTCTCCCCTGCCAACACTACCTCGCTGGCGTCATTTCGACATTTAGGGCAGAACCTGTGACAACAGGGACATCACCTCTGTCCTTAGCCTCCTACTGGCCCTGCACACATAGCTGGCTCCTTCCAGCTCCCAACCTCCTGAGCTGTCCGAAATGGGAAATCTTCTACATTTCAATTCATTAAAATTAAACAAGAAATCCAGTTCCTCGGTCATACGTGCCACAGCTGAAGTGGCCAGGAGCCATGTGTGGAGGGTCAACCGTCGTGGAAAGTGCAGAGCGAGAGCCTTGCCATCCTCACAGGACATTCTACTGAACAGACTCTTGTCCCTCTCCTGCTGGGAATTTCACACCCCACTTCTCCCACTGCCCCTCTTGGGTTCACCAGGTGACAGGCAACATGCGTGTTATTTATTGGCACCCGCCGGCCCCCTAACCTGGATAGCTGAGCACCACGGCCCAAGCCCGCCTCTGGAGCATTCGTGGCACCCACTCACCACTCGGTCTCCGTGGGAACACTGCTGAGAGGCGGGTTGAGGCAGTACAAGTGAAAGGCGTGGTCGCAATCATCACACATGAGCTGCTTGTCGGGGTCCTGCTTGCTCCCACACAGGCTGCAGGAGCACTCGTGGCAGGGCTTGCTCGGGTTATCCTTGCATTTATCGCAGAAGGGCTTGTTCTTCCCTGGACACAGCGGCTGGGTCAGCTTGGCAGGGCCAGCCAGAGAAACAGGAGGCCCACCCCACCCCCACGGCGGGAGACAGAGGGCAGAATCAGAACTCACTTTTCACTGGGTTTTCAACCATGGGAGCCCCCTCGCCCGGACGCTCAATCTTGAAAACTTCATCCACAAACATGATCCGACAGTTGCTGAGAGAGCCACTCCTGTGAGAGACAAGCCGTTAGAACATTCCAGCTGGCCAGCCCTGCTAAGGCACCTCCAAGAGGACTTGGCCACCCAGCACATTCTCAGAGCATATGAGCACCTCTCTAATGACACTGAGTAAGAGTCTCCTCAGGGCCCTAGTGCATTCATGTAGCTACTGCATTGCCAATTCAAGTCCTACTAAATCAAACACAAGATAAAAGAAAGCAGAGTATAAAACAGTTTCACTACGTGATGCAGTGAGAGCAAGTTCTAACCTTCGGGCAAGGGGAGGCTGACTGAACAGGGCCCATCGTGCAAGAATCACCAAGGTAAAGTCTGATCAATTTGCTGTCATCAAAATACAAAAGCTCCTCTAAGTTAAAATGACCCCATAGACCAGCAGTTCTCAACCTGTGGGTCGCGACCCCTTTGGCAGTCGAACGACCCTTTCCCAGGGGTCGCCTAAGACCATCCTGCATATCAGATATTTACATGACGATTCATAACAGTAGCAACATTACAGCTATGAAGTAGCAACGAAAATAATGTTATGGTTGGGTCACAACATGAGGAACTGTATTTAAAGGGCCAGAAGGTTGAGAACCACTGCCATAGACACTCAAACCTGTTTCTCGGATGTGGCTGGATGTGGCTGTCTGGACCAAAACTTCAGTTTTCAATCTGACAACCCTTCCATGTTGATACCTCAGCATGACAAAAAACATCTCTCAGGGAACAAAGGAGAAAATGCTTTTGTTGCTGGTGAAATCAATGATTAGCACAATTTTAAAACATAAAGAAACCAGCAAGAGTGCTAATGTTGCTAAGGGTGTGAAAGTGCTCACAAAACAACAATCACAGGCAATTGAATAGGTAGAAAAACTGTTGTTGATTGGATAACTGATAAGCAGTTAACCAGTGATTGCATTTCAGAGGCAGCAATATATGAAAAATTCGTTTAAGGCTAGTGGGGGGTGCTTTGATAAATTTAAGTCTTTATGGATGAAACAGTGCAGTCGACACGTGCTGTATATAAGAAAGGTTAAAACAGAAGCATTTGGGGTCTGGAATGGATTCATTCCACTTACATTACTTTTAATGGGGAAAAAGGATTCGGTTTTCGAACAAATTGCTTCTCAAATAGCCTTCCAGAACCAATTAAGATCAAGAACCAAGGTTCCACTGAACATCCACAATGTCCCACAGAAATGACCACAAGCCACGAACAGGTGCCACATGGGTAATTCCACATTTCCTAAGAACTACGTTCAAAAAGTTAAGAACAGATGAAATTCATGTGAATATGTTTTATGTAACCCAACGTACACAAAAGATTATTTCAGTATGTAATGAATAGTAAAGAATTATTAATAGCCTTTTTTTATATAGTAGACTTTATTTTTTAGAGCAGTATTTGGTTCACAGCCAAATTCAACAGAAAGTACAGATTAATAGCTTTTTTCCAAATACAGCCAGTGCTGCATACTCAGGGAACATCTCAGTGTGCACGGGCCGCACTCCAAGTGCCCGGCAGCTCGTGGCCCATGGCTGGAACTAGACAGGACAGGCCCAGATCTACCTGCCAGTTCACAGGAAATGACAACATCCAGGCTGCAGAAGTTCTATGGGACAGACCACCAGGTTTCCTCAAATGAATTGTGAAGGAAAAGTGGAAAAAAGGGGAAGACAGAAAGCCTAAAGATAAAAGATTTAAAACATACATATCGATCTAACTGAAATCTGTACACATTAGTTAGATTCTAATCAAAGAAATGGTTAAAAAACAAACAAACAAGTGAGCCCTAGCCGGTTTGGCTCAGTGGACAGTGTCAGCCTGCGGACTGAAGGGTCCTGGTTCAATTCCAGTTAAGGGCACATGCCAGGGTTGCGGGCTCGGTCCCCAGTAGAGGGCATGCAGGAGGCAGCCAATCAATGATTCTCTCTCATCATTGATGTTTCTATTTCTCTCTCCCCCTCCCTTCCTCTCTGAAATCAATAAAAATATATTTTAAAAAATTAAGATAATTGGAAGGTTGAACAATAGATCTGTGTTACTCAAAAATTATTATTAGGTTGTAACAAAATGCATTATAGCTAGATTTCTTCAAGAGCAATTTTAGGTTGTAATAATAGCTTTATAACTGGATTTCTTCAAGAATAATTTTTAAGAACAACATTCTAAAATATTTACAGATGAAATGATTGGATTTGAGGGAGTTATGGCAATAGGATGGGGTGGTAGCCTTCTCAGATAAAGGAAAATCAAAACAACTCGCTAATAGACCCACTCTCACAGAAAAATTAAAGGGGGTTCTTCAAATAGTAAGTTATAAAGGAAAGAATCTTAGAGCAAAAAGGAAGAAAAAAAATAAAAACAGAACTCTGGGTACATACAATTATCCTCCTCAGGATTTTCCAAAATCATCTGTGGTGACTAAACCAAAAATCATGCCTAACCAACGTGGTTCATTGGTTGAGCATCAACCTGTAAGCCAGGTCATGGTTCGATTACTGGTCAGGGCACATGTCCAGGTTGTGGGCTCAAACCCTGGTAAGGGGCATACAGGAGGCAACCAATCAATGATTCTCTCTCATCATTGATGTTTCTCTCGCTCCCTCCCTCTCCTTTCCTCTCTGAAATCAATGAAAACATATATTTTTAAAAATCATAACACCAAAAAATTAAAAATATATAAATAAATAAATCATAACACCATCCAATACACAAGATAATAAGTGATGATAAAGGGACCTAAAAGGAAGAAAGATTTTCATGCTTCACTCAAATGACAAAATTGACACCAGTCTGGGGAACAAGAGGTGTTGGGGGAGGGGACCCAAGGGGGGTGAGACACACCAAGATGTCACATGTTTATATGGTAAAATTCAGAAAAACCACAAAAAAAAAAAAAAAAAAAAATCAGAAAAACCACTAAGCAAACTATGTACAAAGCAACATACTCCAAAGACTACAATAAATCAATGAAGAATCCTAAGGAAATATCTAAGGACAGAAAAAGAGAAACAAGGAACAGAAAAAAAGAAAGAAAACAAGTAATAAATTGACAGACTTAACCCCTAACATATCAATAATTTCCTTAAATGTAAATGGTCTAAAAATCCCAATTAAAAGGCAAAGACTGCCCTGGCTGCCGTGGCTCAGTGGATAGAGTGTTGGCCTGCAGACTGAAGGGTCCCGGGTTCGATTCTGGTCAAGGGCACATGCCCAGATTGCGGGCTTGATCCCCAGTGTGGGCCGTGCAGGAGGCAGCCCATCAATGATTCTCTGTCATCATTGATGTTTCTATCTCTCCTTCTCCCTTCCTCTCTGAAATCAATAAAAACATATTTAAAAAAAAATAAAAGGCAAAGACTGGCAAATTGCATTAAAAAGTAACCCAATTAGCCATGGCTGGTGTTGCTAAGTCGTTAGAGCATCGGCTCTTGCATCCAAGGGTCATGGGTTCAATTCCCAGTCAAGAACATGTACCTGTGCTGTAGGTTCGATCCCTGGCCCTGGTCAGGACACGTGCAGGAGGCATGTGTCTCTCTCACATTCATGTTTCTCTCTCTCCCCAGCATCCTTTCCTCCCTTCAGCTCTCTTTTAAAAAAATAAAATAAAATGGGAAAAAAAATATCCTTGAGTGAGGATTAACAAAACAAAGTACCCAATTATATGCTGTTTACAAGAAAATCACTTCAAACTCAACTACATAGATTGAAAGTAAAAGGATAAAAAGATACACCATGCAAACAGTAACTTTTTTAAAAAAGCAGGTGTATTCAATACATACACATACCTTAGATAAAGTAGACTTCAGAGCAAAGAAAATTACTAGAGACAAAGAGGGATACTACATAATGATAAAAAGATCAACTAACCAGGAAGAGATAACTATCCTAAATGTATATACATCAAACAACAGTCTCTTAAGTATGAAGCTCAAAGGAGAAGTAGACAAATCCACAATTATAGCTGAGGACTTCTATCAGTTGATGAGGGCCAGTCGAAGTACTAGACAGAAAATCAGAAAGAATTAGAAGAAGTAAACAAATTCAACCAATAAAATCTAACTGATATTAGGTCATTCTATCCAATGACAGAAATACTTTTTTTTTTCAATAACTATGGATTATTCACCAACATAGAACCTCAAGAAATTTATAAGAACTGAAATCACACAGAGTATGTTCTTCAGACATAATAAAATCAAACTATAAATTAATGAGAGAACTCGTGCACTGGTGGGGTCCCTTGGCCCGGCCTGCACCCTCTTGCAATCCGGGACCCCTCCGGGGATGTCGGAGAGCTGATTTCGGCCCAATCCCCACAGGCCAGGCCGAGGGACCCCACTGGGGCACGAATCTAGTATGCATAGAAGATCTTTGGTTAATCTCTTCCCGCCCTCCCCCCTCCCTTCTGAGATTCATCAGTCTGTTCCGTGTTTCCATGCCTGTGCATTGAGCGTCTGCTTCCTGGTGGTCAGTGCACGTCATAGCTACCAGTCAGACAGTCAGACGGTGGGATGGTCACTTAGGATTTCATATATAAAGATAACAGAAAGGCCGAAACCGGTTTGGCTCAGTGGATAGAGCGTTGGCTTGTGGACTGAAAGGTCCCAGGTTCGATTCCGGTCAAGGGCATGTACCTGGGTTGCGGGCACATCCCCAGTAGGAGATGTGCAGGAGGCAGCTGATCGATGTTCCTCTCTCATCGATGTTTCTAACTCTCTATCTCTCTCCCTTCCTCTCTGTAAAAAATCAATAAAATATATTTAAAAAAAAAAAAAAAAGATAACAGAAAGACAATGCAAAAATCTCTAAGTATTTGTCAATTAAACACCTTACTTCTAAGTAAGCCAGGAGTCAAAGAGGAAGCCTCAAAGGAAATAAAAGAAATAGAGCCCAACCAGTGTGGCTCAGTGGTTGACCTCTGAACCAGGAGGTCATGGTTCGATTCTCAGTCAGGGCACATGCCCAGGTTGTGGGCTCAATCCCCAGTTGGGGGATGTGCAGGAGGTAGCCGATCAATGATTCTCTCTCATCATTGATGTTTCTATCTTCCTTCCTCTCTGAAATTAATAAAAGTATATATTTTTAAAAATAGAGAACTGAACCTAAAGAAAAATATAATATAGCAGAATGTGTGGGAAGCAGTTGAGGCACTGCTTAGAGGGGAATTTATAGCACTAAAATGCTTATATTAGAAAAGAAATTTCTCAGATCACTAGTCTAAGTTGCTACCTCAAGACACTAGAAAAAGAAGAGCAAAATCAATCCAAGGAAAAGTAAAAGGACGAGAGGAAATCAATGAAATTGGAAACAAGAAAACAATAGAGAATAGCAGTGAAACAAAAAGCTGATTATTTTTTCACAATAACATCAGTGCAGCCTCCTCCCTGGTGTCCTGGCTGCCATGCTGCCCCCTGCAGTCCATTCCCTGCTCGGCTGCTAGGGTGATGGTTCTCAATTGTAGGTCAAAGCATGTGGCTCCCAGGCTCAAAATGCCGCAATGACTGCCAGCAATAGAGACTAAACACCAGTTTGTACCACTCCTGGCCATACCCTGAATATCCAGACACATGGAGGGTTCCAGTCTCCACTCCTCGCTCCCTCCCTCCCTCCACTCCAGCCCACTGGCCTCCTCACTAGGCCACAAATGGACCAGGAATGGCCCTGCTCCAGAATCTCTGCACCTATCTGTGTTTGGGACACTGTTGCCCAGATATGTGTCTATAGTCACCATATACAATGAAATATTATCCAGTCACCAAGAGGAAGGTCTGACACAAGCTACTACATGGATAAGACTTGAAGACATTATGCTGAGTGAAATAAGCCAGAAAGACGCAAAAAGACAAATGCTGTATGATTCCATTCATGAGGTCCCTGGAGGAAGGACAGAAAGAAGATGGTGGGTGTTAGGCTGGGGGAGGGAGGTGGGGAATTAGTGTTTAATGAAAATAGTTTCTGTTTGGGATGATGAAAAAGCTCTGGAAATGGGCAAGTGTTGATGGTCACACAACAATGTGAATGTTTTTTTTTTTTTTTTTTTTTAATATATTTTATTGATTTTTTACAGAGAGGAAGGGAGAGGGATAGAGAGTTAGAAACATCAATGAGAGAGAAACATCGACCAGCTGCCTCCCGCACACCTCCTACTGGGGATGTGCCCGCAACCAAGGTACATGCCCTTGACCGGAATCAAACCTGGAACCTTTCAATCCGCAGGCCGATGCTCTATCCACTAAGCCAAACCGGTTTGGCGTGAATGTTCTTAATGTCCCTAAACTGTACACTTAAAAATGGTTAGGATGGCCCTGGCTGGTTGCTCAATGGTTAGAGCATCGCCCCACAGACTGAAGGGTCGCAGGTTCGTTTCCAGTCAAAGGCATATACCTTGGCTGTGGGCTCAATCCCCATTCCCACCCCTCCACTCCTGCCTGGCCAGAGCTCATGCGGAAGGCCACCAATTGATGTGTCTCTCTCACACTGATGTGTGCCTCTGTCTCTCCCCCTCCCTTTCATTCTAAAAAAAAATAAATGGAAAAAATATCCTTAGGTAAAGATTAACAACAAAAAAACACTGGTGTGGTTCAACTGGTTGAGCACCACAAGGTCGCTGGTTCAATTCCCGATCAGGGCACATGCCCGGGTTTCAGGCTCCATCCCCGGAAGGGGGCATGCAGGAGGCATCCTGTCACATGGATGTTTCTCTCTCCTCCCCCCGCTTAAAATCAATAAACTTATTTTAAAAAATGATTAGGATAGTAAGTTTTCTATTATATATTGTTTTAACACACATACAGAAACGCAAAGTAGAACAGAGCCTGGCAAATATTTTCTGCAAAAAATCAAACAGTACATGTTTTCAGTCTCTTTCCCAACTACTCAAATGTGCACTTCCAACACAAAAGGAGCCACAGATAATCAGCAAACAGATGGGTGTGGCTGTGTGCCAATAAAACTTTATTTGCCAAAACAGGCGAAGGGCCAGCTCTGGCCTGCAGTTTGCTGACCCTGGATATGGGGCACACCATTATGTGGGTTGGTGTGTTTGCATGTTTATGCTTGTTTGTGCACAGAATGTCCCTGGAAGTTCACAGGAACAGTCATTATCTCCAGAAAGGTGTTGTTTTTTTGTAATCCTCCCTGAGGACATTTTTTTCCATTGCTTTCCAGAGAGTGGAAGGGAGGGAGGGGAGGAGGAAAGAGAGATAGAAACATCGATATGAGAGACCGTCCCACATGCGCCCTGACGGGGTGAGGAGCAAACCCGCAATCCAGGTATGTGCCCTTGACAGGGATTCAAATCCGAGACACTTTGGTGCACAGGCTGACGCTCTAACCTCTGAGAAACACCAACCAGGGCAGTACCTTCTGACTTGGATGCATTTTATGTTCTTACCTATTTGCCAAATCTAAAACAACAAATAAAAGAGAACAAGGAAGGCCAACATTTCCACCTGAGGCTCAGAGACAGTTCCCAAGCAGGGGCATGAAGGGTCAGTCTCAGAAAGATCACCAGTAGACCAGCAGGAAGTGGAGCGGAGCCCCACAGGGGCGGACAGGTGGAGGCTGAGGGCCTTGCCCACAGCGTGCTGGCTGGATAGCCACTCACCCGAGCCTGACGTTAGCATACAGCTCCCGCGATGTCCGGGTCTGGTTCTTCCGCGTGATCACTGCATCGTACCAGAAGCCCCGTTCCTTCGGGCTGTCGGGGTTGTAGTTGAGCATGACCTCCTGGCCCTCCTTCAGCTCCTGCCATCTGATGATTTCTCGGGCTCGGGCCCGGACGTTCTGTGAACTCATCTGGACCACACCGTATTCCGGGTAACTGGGAGGAAAACCCCACACTCAGATCCCAGGGCAACACCACACCACTTTCCCTCCAAGAAGAGAGAAGCAAGGAGAAGGCCACACACAACAGAGGTGTGGGTTATCTCATCACAGAAGCAAGCAAATTCCCCTCTGCAGGTGTCGAAAATACACAGGTGCAGAAGACAGGTTTCAATTACAGAAGGTCCTATGGATTGACCTTGTGTCCCCAAAAAAGATATGCTGGAGGTCTAACCCTTGGCACTTGGGAATGGCACCTAATTTGGAAATAGGGTCTTTGCAGATGTAATCAAGTTAAGATGAAGTCACACTGCCTTAATCCATTTAACCGGTGTCCTTCTAAGATGGAACAAGTCAGACACAGAGAATGACACATGAAGGGGGAGACAGAGACTAGAATAATATAGTCACAAGCCGAGGATTGCCGGCCACCATCAGAAGCTGGAAGAGGCGAGGAAGGATTCTCTCCTACAGGTTTCGGGAAAATCATGGCCTGGCTGACACCTTGATTTTGGCCTCTGGAACTGTAAACTAACTTTTTCCGCATTCTGAAAATGATTTTTGCAGAGGGACATGCATTAACTCATTTATATAAATATAATGCATTGGCTATTAGGATACAATAGGAAGTCATTATGCTGGATATACAGAAATATTCCAGCAGCCTCATAAAAGGCGTAAAATAACTGGCCTGAAAGAAACAAATTCTATCCGAAACAAACTTAAACCTCACCTGTGAGGGGACAACTCCAAATCTATTATGGGTAGCTATATCGCCTGGCGCTCATTATTTTCGCTAGTAAACCACCGAAGGCAAGGGTTGCCAAACTTTTCCTGTAAAGGGCCAGATAGTAAATACAGTAAAACCTCGATATAACAGACTAATCTGAGCGAGAGGGTGTCCATTAAAGCTGAAAGCCCGTTATATAACAGAGTGTTTTCCGAATGTGTATGTTAAAAAATTGACAAATTAGTTTACCTATTTTGACTTATGCAGACATATTTGTGTAATTAAAATTAAGTATGTATGAAAAGTTTAATTTCACAGAAAAGTTTTCTATATTACTGTAATTTTAAGTTTATACTGAATTGATCTAGTAAATGTGTGCATTCATTAGTCACCTTGAGTAAACAAATGCACACGTGGGGGGGGGGGGGTAGCTTAGCACATCAGCCAGCACTCGTGAAAACTGCTGTAGAAAGTCACACCACTCGACAACACCACTAATACCAAGTGCCATGCTGGGTGATCATGTGCTAATCATTTGCCAAACATTGTTTAGAAGTGGTGACACTTGGATTTAAATATGTAGACTATAGCTATAGATATACATTATTTATATTGGCAAAATTACTACAGTGTTTTTTGCTACATTTCTTAATCACTAAAATTTGTTTAAAATAAGTGAATTAATAACAAAAATAACCTGTGATTTAATTATAAACAACACTTGGTTAAAAGCATTTCAAAATTAACAGGGTGTTAAATTTTTTTAAAATTCGTACTCTAGAGATGCTTCATTTAAACATCTCCAAATAATTCTTTTGTGTTTTTTTAAAATATATTTGTATTGATTTCAGAGAGGAAGGGAGTGGGAGAGATAGAAACATCAATGATGAGAGAGAATCTTTGATCTGCAGTCTCCTGCTTGCCACCCCTTGGAGATCAAGCCTGCAACCCAGGCATGTGGCCTGAATGGGAAATCGAACCATGACCTCCTGGTTCATGGCCGACACCCAACCACTGAGCCACACCAGCTGGGCATCAGGGTGTTAATGTTCACATATGACTTACAGACTAGAAATTTTGTCTGTTAAATCCGAAGTCCATTAAATCGAGGGTTTACTGTATTTTTGGCTTTGTGAGCTAAAAGGTCTCTATCATGAATATTCAATTGTGCTGCATTCACTAAGAAAGCATTCACAGGCAATAGGCAAACACAAATGGGCGTTGATGTGTTTCAATACAGCTTCATTTACAAATACAAGGGGTGGGCTAGATTTGGCCCTCAGGCTTGGTTTGCATCCTCTAACCTAAGTAGATGGGAATCTTGTGTCTACTGTGATTCATTATTCAATTACTTCTGTAATTTTTATGGAGCTAATAAAGCTTAGTATGTGCCAGAAACTGGGACAGGCAGTAGGGGCCCAGCAGAGAACCAAAGGAAGCTCTTGTGCCCTTTGGAATGTGAGCTTCCTATAGGCAGGCATGCTTGCCCTGTTGTGGACTGAATTGTATCCCTCCCGCAATGTGACTATCATTTGGAGATGGGGCCTTTCGGGAGATCACTGAGGTTAAATGAGGTCATACCGTTGGGTCCCTAATCTGATGGGGTTGGTGTCCTTGTAAGAGAAGGAGACACCAGAGCTCTCTCTCTTTCCAGGTGAGAACACAGTGAGAAGACAGCCAAGAAGGAAGCAACCCTACCAATACTTTGACCTTGGACTTCCCACCTCCAAAACTGAGAAAATAAATGTCTGCTGTTTAAGCCGCCCAGCATGTGGTATGTTGTTATGGAGCCCAAGCCTACTAAGACAGCCTCTGGGTTAACAGACAAGAATTCCCTGTGGCCAGCACAGGGCCTGACACACAGTAAGTGCTCAATAAACACCCATTCCGGTGAGGGAGAGGGCAAACACGTAAGATGGTTTCATGTGGTACAATGATACGAGGTATGAATAAAATAGAACAGGAAATGGGGAAGGGGGGTCTGACTGGAAAGTCAGAGCAGAGCTCTCCTAGGAGACCTGAGGAGGGGTCGGCCTAGCTTTGGGTCCCTGTGACACTAGTCCTCTAGGTGCGGCCTCCTGTGTTGTTTGGGAGCATGAGGGTGGGAGCCTCGAATCCTGACCATCATCCCCAAGGCTGTACCAAACTCCAGGTTCTATATACACAGGACCAACAGTTCAGGCCCACCACCTCCCTGGGATGACACTCACTCATCATATGTCACGTGATAAATGACGTCGTCGTCGTCGTCGTCTTCTTCCAATGTGGAGGTGGAGCTACAGGGTGTGTCCTGGGAGGAGGCGGAGCTACAGGGTGCGTCCTGGGATGAGGCAGAGCTACAAGGCGTGTCCTTGGATGAGGCAGAGCTACAAGGCGTGTCCTGGGATGAGGCAGAGCTACAAGGCGTGTCCTGAGATGAGGCGGAGCTACAAGGCGTGTCCTGGGATGGTGGCTTCTTTGTCACCCTGACAACCTTCGCCTCAAACCAACTTCCCACATCCGTGTCCCGGGCATCAACGTACTCATTGACCTGCAAGGTAAAGGGAAACTCTCTTGTCCAACCCAGGGAAGGAAATCTGATCAGCAACACTCGCTCATCATATCTCAGGCCTGTTTTGATCCTTGGCACTGGCTGTTTCAGGCCTGGGATGCAAACCCAAAAGCCTGGACTCGGGTTTCTCGAGTGCAGCACTGTGTGTGGTCATAGGGATGCCTCTGTGAGGGACCATCCTGGCCACTGTTGGGTGTTGAGAATCTGTCCCCCATGACTGGGGAAACTTGATGTCAGCAGTATCCCCAGTCATGACATCCAGAGATGTCCCAAGATTTGCCAATGTCCCTGAAAGCAGAATCAGCCTAGGGAGGCCAGAACTCATTTCTTAAGAAAAGCTGAGAATCCAGATCATTATATGAAATTTCATGATCTTAGAGGGTGGCAGAGAATTCAGAAATTTTACAGCCACTACAGAGGCCAGAGCAGACACCTGTAGGCCAGACCCAGGATTCTGTTTCAGGGATCAGGAAGAAATTTGGAGTAGCACATGCTTCTGCCAAAGAAACTTCAGGTTTTCACGACAGGACTGTGGGTGCCCAGCCACAGGGATGGAGGGGAGATGGCCCGCCCTCATGAGCTCATGGCTCGGTGGTGGGGAAGCCAAATCAGTGGAGCATGAGGAATGATCCTCAGGGATGCAGACATCGGCCAGACCCCAAACCTTCTGCAGGAGCCTCACCTTGTACAGGCCCAGCTCCGTCTCATCACACACTGCCTCATCAGATAAGCCTGAATTCCTGTCCGCCTCCGCAGCCACCTCACCGCTAGTCGAGGACTTGTCCGACTCACTCTGGCCCAGGCAGTAGCCAGAATCCGTGTCAGAAAGCTCAGAGTCTCTCTCCTGGTTGTTGTTGCTGCTGCTACTGGGGGGAGGAGGCATGAGGTTCTGCCGAACCAGGAGCTGGATGGTGTCATTCAGGCGAACATCATAGTCAAAGAGGGTGTGGCCATCCTCCATCTGCAGAGACACCAAGACAGAGATCACTTACCCGCCTGTATTTAGTGTGTCTTCTGGGTGCCAGGCACAGGCACATGCTGTGAGCTAAGGAGGGGATCTGCCCTCAGATTATGGGACAACAAAACCTGTTCCCTCCTGGGCATGCACACTGATACCCCTTCCTCAGACCCTCTCAAATGAGGACTCCTGGTGTCATTAGGTAAGTGTCCCCATGAGCACAGCACAATCCTGCTGTGCTGTAGACACACATCAGATGTCAGGGGAGGTTTCCTTAGTACTTCATGTGTTAACGTGCTTTGCAACTTTTGTTACAATAAACACACATTGTCATTCTCAGTTGAGGGCAATCCGGCATACAGGTGCCACTGGCACACGATGTTTGGGGACATCTATGGTTGTCACGATGGAGTGCATCGGGCCAGAAATACTGCAACACCTTCCACATTCCCCAGGATGGCCCTCCACAGACAATGACCTGGCCCCAGTGTCAGCAGTGGCCAGGAAGGAGACCCAGCCTACGGGAGTCCAAGGAGACATGCACCCCAACATCCACAAGTCTCCTCTGTAAAGCTCTAGCTCAGGTCTTACCCACACAGGGCAACTTCTCAGATCCGTTACCTCCACCCCTATTAACTCCTTGATGCTAATTCCACCCACACTAGACACCTGCTAACAGGACACTGTGGCCAGCACAGCTCAGCAATCTACACCCCTGGGTGTGAAGTTTGTCTTCTGAGTGGCATCCCGATGGCACAAAAGGCCAAGGAGTTACCTTTTATTAGGAACTATCCCGCAGCACTGCGCCAACACCCAACAGGACCAGCAAGGGCACCTTGTTCTATCCAGATGCCCCTAAAGCCGGGCTGTGTGACACAGGCTGGATCGTTCTCTGTGGAGGCCATCCTGAGCACTGCAAGGTGCTGAGCAGCACACCTGGCCCCCACCCACAATGCCAGGAGCTCCCCCAGTCATGCCAACCACAGATGTCTCCAAACTTCCACTGTCCCCTTGGGGCAGAACAACCTGGTTCAGAAGCGGTACCCTAAAGAAAAGGGAAAAGAGAGGAAAACATACACTTCCCTCCTTCCAAATTTTTACCCAAAGCTGATGTTTCAAAGGGCTGATTGCAATTAATATGCAAACAGCATTGGGGGTCACAGTGGAGGCAAGTTCCAGGGTCCAAGGTCATCCTTCAGTCCAGTGGTTGTTACTCTTTCTTCATCACAAACCTGAGAATTTGAGGGATGATGACCCCTCCCCCCAAAAAATGCATCTGGACACACCATCACTTGCCTACAGCTGCAGAGGCTGCCAGGGCCCCTCTGAAATCCCCCTAGGTGTCACAATGTTTACCCATTCACACAATGGAATATTATTCAGCCATGAAAAGGAGTGAAGCACTGACACTCGCTACAACGTGAATGGACCTTGAATACATGATGCTCAGTGAGAAGCCAGACACAAAAGGCCACACAGTATGTGTTTTCATCTATGTGAAACATCCAGAACAGGCAAATCCACAGACAGGAAGTGGGTAATGGTTGCCAGGGGCTAGGGGAGAAAGATGGGGAATAAGGCAGTGATCATTAAAAGGTGTAGTTTCCTTTGGATGAAAATGTCCTAAAATTTACTGTGATGACAGTTGCAAATCTATATATAGAGAGCAGAATACTGAATTGCATATTTTTAAGAGAATTGTATGTTATGAGTTCAATCTCAATCAAGCTGCTTTTTTTTCCTTAAAAAAAAGAAAAGGCCCTAGATGGTTTTGCTCAGTGGATAGAGCGTCAGCCTGCAGGCTAAAGGGTCCCGGGTTCGATTCTGGTCAATGGTACATGCCTGGGTTGCTGGCTCAATCCCTATTAGGGAGTGTGCAGGAGGCAGCCGATCAATGATTCTCTCTCATCATTGATGTTTCTATCTCTCTCCCTCTCCCTTCCTCTCTGAAATCAATAAAAATATAGTTTTTAAAAAAAGAAAAAGGCCCTAACCGGTTTGGCTCAGCGGATAGAGCGTCGACCTGCAGACTCAAGGGTCCCGGGTTCGATTCCGGTCAGGGGCAGGTACCTTGGTTGCAGGCACATCACCGGTGGGGGGCGTGCAAGAGGCAGCTGATCGATGTTTCTCATCGATGTTTCTAACTCTCTATCCCTCTCCCCTCCTCTCTGTAAAAAATCAATAAAATATATTTAATAAAAAAAAAAAGAAAAGAAGGCTACCTATATATAATCCCATCCACAGATGGTCCTTGATTTATGATGGTTCAACTTGCGATTACTTCGACTTTTCGATGGTGCAAAACAATACGCATTCAGTAGTAGTCATACTTCGAATTTTGAATTTGGATCTTGTCCCAGGCTGGCGATATGCAGTCTAATACACTCTGTGGTGCTGGGCAGCTGCATCAAGAGGATTTTGCCCAACGGGAGGCGAATGTAAGTGTTCTATTCACATCGGGCTGGGTTAAACTGTGATGTTCGGTAGGTTAGGTGTACTAAATATCTTCTGTTTTGTTTTTAATCCTCACCTAAGATATTTTTTCCATTGACTTTTAGAGAGAGTAGGAGGGCAAGAGGAGGGGAGAGGGGGAGAGGAAGGGAGGGAGGGAGGAGGGAGGGAGGGAGGGAGGGAGGGAGGGAGGGAGGGAGGAGGAGGGAAACCTACAACCAAGTCAAGTGCCCTTGACCAGGAATGGAACTCGTGACTCTTAGGTCCTCAGGCCAACGTGCCAATCACTGAGCAACTGGCCAGGGCTAAATATGTTTTTTACTTAGAATATCTCAACAATCCATATCACAACCCATCACAAGTCAAAGGGCATCTGTATATGAAATTCTGGAAAAGGCAAAACTATGGAGACAGTGAAAGAATCCGTGGCTGCCAGGAAATGGAGGGAGGAAAACAGGTATAGCACAGAGTATTTTTAAGGCGGTGAAACTACTCTGTGTAGTTTCCAACCCCATGGAATTTATGACACCAAGAGTGAACCCTAAGGTAGCCTACGGACTCTGGGTGACTATGACATGCCGATCTAGGTACATGGCTTATAACAAATGCACCATTCGGTGCCCGATGCTGACAGTAGGCTGTGAGTACACAGGAAATCTCTGAACCTGCCTCATCATTTTGCTGAGAAGCTAAGATTGCTCTCAGAAATAAAGTTTATTAATTTTAAAAAAGATGAAGAAGGACAAATGCCCCGAGTGTAACTGTGACAGGAAACCAGCAGAGGGCAAGCCAAATGGCCTTAAAAAGGATAAACAAGACATTCGTACCTAGGGCCCAGCACCTCCAGGGTTAGGCAGACATCCCTCATTCGCCTGGTCATTCTGTGGGGAGGGGCCATCCTGGGCACTCCTGAGCATTGAGCAGCATCCCTGGCCTCTACCCACACCTAATGCCTGAGCACCCCCAGTCCTGATGGCCACAAATGTCCCCAGACAAGGCCCAGTGTCTCCAGGGGCAGTTGCCCTCAATGAGAACCAGTAAGCTAGAGAGACCCTCACATGTGCTTGAGGACACAGACACCAATGTTCCTACCTGGCATATTCACAGGCATTATTTGCAAGCAAAACTATGGCTTATACATGCAAAAGAGTATCACACAGCTGCACGTGACAGTGAAATACAACAAAAGTGGATGTGTCTCACACACACACACATCAAGGGAAACGAGGACGACTTCAGACGACACTTCAGAGGACGGGAAATAAACCTAGCTGCCTGGGCGACAGAGGCAGTTGTAGGGCCGAGCCAGAAGGGAGCACGTGATCAGACTTGTTTCACAAGGAACACCGGACAGAGGCCCCGGACAGAGACCGAGTTGGAGAGAAGAGAGGCCAAGCTGGGAGGCTGAGGTAAGAGAGGAGGCAGAATGCACCAGAATGGCCACTGGGGGTGCAGAGGAGGGGTGGAAAGGGTCACGCAGACACGGAGGCAGGGGGAATTCTGATTTGGCTTCAGCACTCACACCACTCCTCTCTCATGGTATTTTTCTACTGACAACACCTCCCACAGGGTGAGCCCACGCTGGGCCTGACCTGGCCCCTCACCTCCATGACAGGTCAGGAAGCCAGACTGACAGAAGCCCACTGACTTGCTCAGGGCCTGAGCTTCCTGGAGGAGGCGACCTGCCTGCCCGCACAAGGGCGCAGACAGAGGCACAAACAGGGCAGGAAAGGGGGCACTCAGGCTGGGCCAGGCTGGCATGAAACTCTGCCTGCAGGACACGATTCACAACTTAGAACTTTCCAGAAGGGTCCTGCAGTCAGCAGGAAGCAGCTTGCACAACTGTTTGCTACAGTGAGGAGGTGTATTGTGTGCCCCTATTGTCTACCCCCATCGGCTTCCCCAAAGCTGTGCAGAAACGTTCAGAAACCACAGGGAGAGAGGCTGGGCCCAGGCCTACCTCATCCTAACATGTCCGCATGAGGTGACCAAACAGTCTAAGGTTTGGGTTCGTTATTGAGATCCTAAAATTCCAACCAAGGCTAACGGCATTAATAAAAGCTATAGCTTTTTCCACTAGACACCAAATCTGCTGGCACCTTGATCTTGGACTTCCAGCCTCCAGAACTGTAAGAAATAAAAATCTGATGTTTATAAAAAATTTTAAAAAGCTATAAAAACTGAATGACAAGTGAGCACCACCTTTCATTAGAGGTTCTAATGTTAAAATTAAACCTGAGGGGGCAGTCAATTGGGGGAAAAGGAGACATGTAAAACTTTAGACAATAAAAAAAAATTAAACCTGAAGTTAAAATCTTGAATAACCAAAATTTCCACTGACAACCCCTTAAATTGCCTGTAGTAAAATATGCAGTTGTACCTAGATATCTGCGGGGCCGTGGGTCCTGAACCCCCAAGGACACCCAAATCGCGAGATGCTCAAGTCCCTTAAAGAAAACTAGTGTCCTAGTGCATGGACTCGTGCACATTGAAAGGAAACTAATTAGAAGAAATATTTTAATATCGCTATTTGCCCTTTCTCTACAATAGAA